TGTTTTATAAAAAATCAATCATGTTGAGAGAATGGTCCTTCAATAACCAACTGTGTTATACTCCTTTCACCTTCTCTGGCCTTTACTTCCCATCAACTTCTAAATGTCACGTCTGTTCAGTAAATTTCCTTTTCTTAGACGCTTCCAAAGTTCAAGCTGAAACAATATCAGAACTTTATTAAGAATTTCAGACCAATTTTCTATTAAAAAAAACTGCAAAGTTATGAATTAAAATTGTCAGGAATTTAAGCCTTATTAAGAAGCTTGATGATCTTTCAAACATCTTGGAGTGTTTTAAAACAAAGAATTTATTCCTTCACACAATTTTGGAAATTTGAGAGGAAAAATCTAATAATTTTCACAAATTATCATTATTTAAAAGTAAAATAATTCGCCGAGGGCTTTGGTAAAATATTAATAATTTTAGGTTATTACGGAATCTTCTGTGTTATAAATTCTAAATATAACAGAATGATAAAAACTAAATGAAGTTATGGATCAATTAGATACAACTATTTGAGTTTTTTTTTCGACTTGATCTTTAAAAAGGCTTTTAAGAATTTTGACTGAATTTTCATGGCTATTTACAGAGACTTTTGTATTTTAGATTTTAAATAAAAACTGAATTGTATGATAGTTTTAAAAGTACTTTGAACAAATTTGACATAAATTGAGAATTCATCACATTTATTTCAACTTAATTCCAAATTCTAAATAAAAATCTCACTGAATGATGAGGACTAAAATAAAGTAACAGAATAATTAAATAGAACAGAGTTTTGACAAATTTAATCTTAATAACAAAATATCTATTTCAAGTTACTTCCGTATTTAAGATTCTAAATAAAAACTCACTGAATGACAGGGACTAAATGAAGTAATGGTACGATTAAACGGGCTATTTTCGAGGCTCGTTATTGACAATGGAGTATAGAATAACAATCAGTTACGTAGAAGATGTATCAGCCATCTTTGTGAAGCTAGTAATTACTTGATTCTGACGCAGTTCTCGCCACAAAATGTCGCCAATGATTCAATATTTTCTATTTTTGTCTCAAGAATTGGCTGACAATTGAAATAGGTTTGAATTTAATGGTGGTCCTAGAATATAATGATTATTGAATGTTATTTCTGTTTTGTTATGATACAAGTCTTGATGAAGTTTACTCTTTTAATAAAGGATGTTGATTTGGTTGTATTTGCCAGTCATGCATGTTTGATTTTTATAATGTCTATTTGTTTCATTTCTTCTAAGTTTTCTTAATACCAATCTGTCAAAAAGAGCTGATGAGTTGGTTGTATTTGCTGGCTATGCTTGACAAAAGCATGGAATTATCTGACTCTGGTCTTAAGGACTATTTGATATTTAGCCATATTTTTTAAAATATTATCAACCCTTGT